TTTAAGGAATTAAGAGCGTTCAATTAATAGAGATAAATTATAATCAATTGATAGATCAATTAATTATARTTGATTTACTGCATTCTTATATGATATACTAAAAAAGTGTTATCTATTGTTGATCAAGAGTCAGCACCTTTTAGAATACATAATAATAGTTATAACAATATTTATAATAATAATAATATAATAGTACATCAATTCAGACTAAACTGAAAAACATTAAATTCAAATAAGAAATTATAGTTGCCAATTAAGCGATCTATATTTACTTCCTAATAAACTAGTTTTAGCAATACTTTTAAATAACTCTTAAACGCTAATTTACGTATACTATCGAGTCATAACACATGTGACTTAACTTCAAAATAATAATAATAAATATACGKTCTAAATACGGTTCTAAAAATGCAGTAGAAAAATAAAAACAGCTTTAACGATATTTTACCGTGAAATCAACCACCACCGTATCGGGACTTAAAAATCGTCGTTTGCTGAGGGACGTAAATCGAAAACAGTAATCAAAATCGTGTAGTCGTAAATTTTTTAAGCACCTAAAATAACGACATTATWGTCATTACTCATTATACACAAAACAATTAACTCTAAGCTTACTATTCACAATTATCGGTACGTCAAATCCTCACATAAATTATTTACATATCATTGCCATATATCTATAAAACGTTGTGAAATAATATAAGTAGATAATCTTTAGATATTAGGACGTATTGAACAATTCTTTTTAAACATTATGCTTTTTTTTTTTTTGAATTTTTGGAATACTTTAGAAAATGTATTTTCCAAAACTGTTTAACGCATAACGTAATAATAAGCTTTGTAAGCTTATTATATTACTACCAATTTAAAACAAATATATATAGGTATAATACAATAATAATACTACCAAAAGCATCTCAAAAGGGKCGCTCAGAGAGACACATGCCACTGTTGTATCTTCAGAGTATTATATAAAAAAAGTTTAAATACAAAATTTGATTTTAATAAAATTATAACTTATCTACTGGATATAAAAGATTGGAGCATAATACTTGTAGATAACAAATGCTATAGTAGAAAATGTATAACTATTTTCAGTATAATATTAGTATCTTAAATTCGTGAACATCATGATTCATTTCTGGTTGATAAATAATCGAAAATAAAATATTACTATTCCGTCAGTGGCATATTATATACGTTCACATGACAAATATTTTAAAAATACACAATTTATCAAAAAATTACGGAAATCGTGTTTAATTGAATTATTAGTATTTCTTATAAGGTTTTTATGTTTCAAACTCACTCACGTTCAAAAAGATTATACCTATGTATRAAACCGAAACACTCGGCATTATAAACAAGCTGCACAAAATTGGATTTCGCTTGAATTTATTTAAGGAGCTGTTGTTATTATCCAAATGGCTCGCGCCATATTACTGAGCACCCCTCATAATACGAATCTGCCTTTACTTTTGCTGTGTATAGTTAAGTCGTGTATAGACATTAGACAATGGCTATTAATTATGCATACTCRTTAATCAACAGATAATAATATATGCTATTCATTATTTAAATTTTGATTTTCAAGGACTCTATTATCTCCAATTAAATATMTATTTAGACTACAAATTATCCTAGTGTGAAAACATTTYTTWTTCAAATAGGAATGAATGTTAACAGTTTGTGAATTATTATAATATATAGAAGCACTATTAAAATTAAAATTTGAATTAATAGTTTCTGATATATTCAACTGTGAATACTTTTTTTTTTTTTGAGAGAGGGTCCCCCACAAATTGTGAGTCTTCGACAAGAGCTATTATAGCCTGTGGAACTGTCAGGGAGGGAACTGTTGGTTTTGGTGCTCGTGGATGTTTTGGCAGAATTTCGAATGGGGACTCGTAGGTTTGTAACTGCCCGAAAAACGATGCCGCCCATGACCGGGATTCGAACCGGTGACGGTGCGCGTCGCAACCGACGTCTTAATCCAYCCGGCCACTTAATTACTATTTAAATACATCAACATTTATTACAGGACCCTTATTTAGTGTGATAAAAATTTCTGAAATTCATAATTTCATTCAACGATTTTGTAAAAAAAATAGGAGAGTACCTAAGCTTTGCACATTAGAAAAATCACCTCGATATTGCTAGGTATATAGTATATACCTGTGATGTTATACCAGCGTATCATTGTTATTTTTTTCCGCGTTTTTTTCATTAAAATGTTGCAAACACGAGGTACGAAATACAGGTTGCGGGTAGCTGCAGAATCGACAGTGACAATACTATTACGATGATCGTGTTCACAGGCCTCCGGTCTAGCAGGCCACGATACCTGCAGTGCAGCCCACCGCCGCCSAAGCGCTACGATCTGTTCCCGCGGAAGTGCCGTACCACTGTGGACTGCCTGCCTGATCTTTGCTGCCCGGAAATTGGAAGAAACGTCTGCCGGCCACCCAAGGAAATAATACAGCCAATCAAGGTCCGGCTGTCCATCGGGTAGACAGTCTCGGCGTCTGTTTTTTTATCAGCCCAACTGAATTTGCAACTCAATCACGTTTTTTATCACCGATCGAAATACTAATCTCAATGTCAATCCTATAGAACATGTTTATAATTATTTTTTTGAAAATATTTTAAATCCATCGCAAAAGACTTGAAATCACAAAATTATAACACGGCACGTGCTCTACTGATAAATATTTTTAGGACACTTTTTTTTAATGCGTTCTAAAATATTTTCCCGAAACGATTACAAAACTTTTTCGATTGTTCTTATACTATTATTTTGSCCTGCGGGATAACATTGTTGTTCTGTGTTATTATGCAATCGTACCTATCTAGTCATTACTCATTTGTGAATTATTTTTAATTGTCGAATCTTTCCAAACACCCGAACGAAGATATTACGGATAAACGTACAAATATACACATAAGTTTAAAATTATTTWTGTAAATTATTATTTTTGTTATTATTTATTATTACTATTTTTATTAAGTATTATAGTTATTTATTAAAATTATTTCTATCATTAAAATTATTATTATTAATAATTATTTTTATTTTTGTTATTGTGTTTGACACATCTATGACTTTAATACTTGATTTGAACGCGTCACCCTCATCTACGTCCATTAAACTAACATTATACGTGACGTTAGGATACCGTACAGCTTGCTAAGACTAACTAATACAACGATGGTAACAAATTATTATTTTCTGGACATGAGGGAACTAAAGTCCCTGGAAAAATCCCAAGTTAATGTTATTATTGTTTCGTTAAGACACTTTCACTAATGCTAAACCAAAAAAAATAACCGATTTGGCTCTTAATGCGTTTTCGATTTATCTTTAACATGTAAGATARACTACARTAATAGTTGTACAGTTAAATCCATTGGCCTTGGAAATAGCCCTAACACCATCGCTACGCGTCATATCCAATTAACGATTTTTGGGGGAMGATAAGAACATAATAATTTCATATTTGAACCGATAGCCGAATAAATAAACCACAAACGCTGCAATTGTGTAGATGCGGTCGCAATCCGAAAAATCTCTCTGGACAATAATTGAAATAGAATAACATGATGCCGAATGTAGTAAGCCTATATGCAGTTTATCGAGTTTGGATGTTTAGCAAACAAATTACTGATGTTATTTAATTTGTTATTCACTGTGTAAACACTATAAAAATAAATTATTATTTTATTGTTCTTCTATCGATTATCGGTGTATAGTTGATTTGCAAACAATAACCTACTCCATATTTAATTAAATGACACCGCTGGATACCTGTTTTGTTCATTGTTCATCATAATTGAACCCGAAATGACTGTGTGATGAATAAAATATGACGAAAGAACCCATCATAAAAACAAAGGTATAKCTCACTGGCCACCGTATATAGTGTAGGTATTGCACGCATGACACAAAACATTATAAATTATACATTCATGTTTTTATTTTTGAACAAGTGTATTACAAGATTATATTTTGTCACTATAACAGTAAAAGATTAAATTGTTGTCCCGCAGTTAAAGTGTAATCACTGGTTTTTATGCTCAACATATTTATATTGATCTACCATAATAGAATTTTGTGAGGAAATAATGTTGTGGGTATTTACTAACAACTTATCAATCATAACTCTTCGAAATCAGTATTGCACTTGACAGAGAACATGAAACAAAAAAAAATACCATATTTTAACCTTCATCTAATCTCACACAAAATTATTGTATAGGTACTGATAATCGTATTTTACTGTTACTATACAAAGAAATAAAATATATAAGCTGTTTATATTTTATAATATGTACCTACAAATACACGAGTATAACGTAAATCTCGAACAAACGTGAAATAATTTTTGTTCTATTCGATTAGATTCGTTTATTACAAGAATACTCATTGCCAATGTATAATGTATTATAGTATATTAATAATTATTATTATACTTCGACAATGTTACGATATTATTAACTATTATAATGAGACACTTACTTAACACAGCGCACAATAGCTAGTAAGTTAAGGTTGTTGATAATGATAATGCTAATAACTATATATAGCTATATAGACGAAATATCAGATATTGTAATAATAGTATAATACATATCATAATATTTACTACTTAAAATTAAATTTAAAAAAATGTAGAACGAAAAATGAGTGAAGAAAAATTAAGAGTAACTTTCTTTTTGCAGAGGAAAATTGTACCAGCCATTTTTGCAAGGAAAAAACTCCTTATTGATATTTTTTGATTCTGAAAATTTAATTTATAAATTATTTTTAACATAATAGTTACTCTAGAAAAATTTGGTTCACTTTGCCTATCTACCATCGTCTATATATTAAACATAATATATCATCAATTTCTTTTAAAATATTTTTAAGTTATGGTTCTGTTAATGCATTGCTATAATTGCTTAAAGTTTAGGATGTGAGCCAATTTAACACATATAAATATTTTATGTAGGTGACTTAAACATTTATCTTAAAACAATTAATGTCTCATAATTATTTTTATTAATACTTAGTAGTGTTTTTCCTAAATTTCATATTATACACTTTCACAATTAATTTAATACATATTGCATGAATCATATTCCACCAAATTTAAAATAATATTTGATCTTTCCTATCTGATTTTATTCATGCATTCAATTGACTTATATACTAGCTACCGGGTTATTAACTTACCATCGGTTTCTTTGACTGACATTGCTGTTTGTCTGAAATTCAGAAACTTGTTAACCTGTAAATATATTACCTGAGTCCTGAACCGTAAGCATGAGTTGATCATTTATTTCATTTAAAACTACCCAAGAGAGTCATCTTTCTACGTTCACAAAATTTAACTCTCTTTTCAAATGTTCCGTGGTTTCACCAATATATTTTACATTTGTACAAAAATATACTTTAGTATTTTCATTTTCAAAAAAAATATAGCAAATAAATAAAACCATTATTATAATAAAATTAATTATTTAATTATTGACATTTTCGACTGTGCTAATCTTTTTATTCCATATTTTAATATTTAAATTAAAACGCTTACGTATTTAAAACTATTGATTTAAATTATGAATTACTAAAAAAAATTAGTAAAACGATTTTATTCCAAGCACAGACAAATAAAAATACTGATAAATAATATTTATACCTAATTCTTTTATTAAAATTGTATTATACACACACCAATGACAAAAAGTATAAGGTGTTCTAAAAAAATATTAATAATAACGCAATATGTTTTATTATAGAATAAAATCTATTAGTTAATAAGTGTGTATATTGTTCTTTAAACACTTAACAAAAATATTACAATTTTTATTTTTATAATTCAATTTTTAATTTAAATTGATTTTTTCTGATATAGCAATATATTTAGTTTAATATTTCGTGAAACAAAAATTGAATCATCTAATATTATTGATAAATTTTAATCTCTTATGATAGGAATTCCATCCAATATTGATATTTGTGTTAGTCTCTTAATGCATTCAGCACGCCAGATCGATTCTTCCATAGACTCTTGTATTGGATTACCTAAAAATAAATAATCACATTTTTAAAACAAGAAGTATGAATATAAAAAAAAAACTTTACCGGTCAGTACTAGCTCTTGAAGAGTTTCCAATTTTAAAAGTTTTTGCACCTCATTCCAACTGTCAACTAAATTATTGCTCATGTATAATACTTTCAGTTTCTTCATGCCCATAATGCCTTTCAGTTTATCAATATAATTATAAGATATCCATAATTCTTCTAAAGTATCAGCCAATTTTTCTATCCCGTTGAAATTTTTTAAGTTATTTCGTGCCAATGATAATATTTTTAAATTTCTCAAAGTATCAAGATGAACAATTTTTTCGATACAATTTGTGCTCAGTGATAATTTTCTGCAACAAATATCAAAATACGCATAGGTACAACAAAAGTATTGATTGAAAATTAATTATGTAGGATATTTAAATTATAAATTCTAATATAATACTTATTATAATTATAAACGTCATGTTTATTTTATTATTTATTAGAAAATAAACAATCTATACTAGTGAAACACAATAAGTAAATATGATGACAAAATATACAGGTTAGAGATGGATTATATGAAGAGGGAGGCTCTCCATTGATAGAACCCAACGCGATATTATTTTATTGCGGATTTATTTGAGCAAGTCTCTACACCATTTTCGTTTTAAACGGCGTATTGGGTTTCCAGGAAGAGTTTTTCATGGGAATGATGACATTTCTGGTTTGGATGTCTAGATAATTTAGAATAGAATCTACAGAAGTGACTAGAAGCTAATTAGCTAACTGTTTCGATGTTTAGATTGTTCTACAGTGTCTCGTTGGATACATACCAGGGTGCAGAAGTGATAAATTGAAGGGCTATTGATTGGAACGACTGTATGGTACGGATTTGTGAGGGTTTAGTATGACCCCAAATCTGAATTAGTCTTAAAAGTGATTTGTTTATAATAAGCTACACGTGTATAGATAATTTGTATCTGAGTATTGGTCTATTGGTCGTAAGAGATGTAGGTGACTGTTTACTATTTTTCTTTTTGATTTAAAATGTGGACCCTATGTTAGTCTCTCATCATGACCATCTCCGATATATTTGAATTCCGTTGAATTAGGAATATGCGTTCTTTACAAATATAGTGAAGGGTATTCCGTTTTTTTGGTTGTGAAATTTACTTCTCGGGGTTTATTTTAATACGTCATTTGGTTGTCCTGTTTTCAATTAACTTTAAGTGATTTTGTAAAGAGATGGAGAATTGCACTGGGTCGTTTACGGTGGAGGGTATTACTGTGTCATCCTCATATGTAGCTATGGTTGTGTTTTTTGAGTGTAGCATATCGCCGGTGTATATTTTGAATAAGTCTGGCTAGAGGTCGCTGCCTTGTGGCACTCCAGCTTGAATAAAAAAGTAGGAGGAAAATGCGTTAAACCACCGAACAACAAAAGTTCGGTTTTCAAGATAAGATTTAATTATTAAGAAATATGGGGTGTGTAGAAACTGTTTTACTTTATAAAGGAGGCCTTTATGCCAAACTCGGTCGAAAGCTTACGAAACGTCTAGGAATACACCAGTAGTATTTTTTTTTTCAAATTATGATGATATTAGATGCGTTTGTCTGTGTATTTGATGTATTATTGAGTGTTTAGCCCTAATGCCAAAATGAGAGTTAAGAATAATATCATGTGTCAGAAGTATCGGTATAATTTTCTTGAGAATGAGTTTTCAAATATCAAGGCCAGAGTTAGAAATAGACTAATATTGGTCTAGATGAAATTGCTAGATTTTTTAGTTTATTAGGTTTAGGAATGAGTATGATTATTGATAGATTTCATATCAAAGGATGGTATGAGCTAAACATGGAATTGAAGATGCAAGTAATGAG